CTGCGGTGCCATTGATTTCAAAGCACCGCCACACCCCCTCCCACCCCCCAAAAAACTGAGCTGGCCGGGGTGCGTTCCAGAGGTTGAACGAACTGGAACGCACTCCTGATGGTGTGACAGGGCCCTAAATAACTACTCCAAGAAGAAGAAAAAATCCATGAAGCACTCCAAGCATTTTCATCCAGATAAGGCTGCACAGTGACTGCACGCTTGCACACCATTATTAAAGGAAATGTCCTATTTTCATCAACTGTCACAGGAAGTTCCTGGCCTGAAAATGGCCTGAATATAAACCAATTTTGTAATTTCTTTCCAAAAGAGAGAGAGTAGGGGGAGAAGAGAGAGAGGGGAGGGGGGGATAGAGTAGAGGGGGATAGAGAGAGAGAAGAAAAAAGAACAAAACAAAAAAAAAACACACCACGAATGAGGTACACACTGCTCTTACCTCCTCACACAGAGCTGCAGCAATATATAAGCTTATGTATCTATGTGTTGTGATGTATGTGTTGGGTTGCAATTAAAGGAGAACTATGGAGTTAAGGCTTTTCCCCATAGTTCTCCTTAGGGTAACGGGAGGACACAAACTAGCGTCCTCCCGTCACCCTAGGCTCAGTATACTGAGACGCCGCAGCTGAAGCGGATCCCGACTATTGTGCCGGGATCCACCCAGCTGCGTGACTGACAGCTGGCTCTGCCTATCTAGAGGCAGAGCCAGCTGTACCCGCCCCCTCCCCCGTCCGTTCCGCCAGTCAGCGCTGGCGGAGCGGGGAGGGGGGAATCCAGCTCCTCCCTGTCACGGCAGAGAGCCGTGACAGGATCGAGAGGTGAGCGAACGCCGGTATGTGTTCACTTCCCGATTTTCTGAGCCGCCCTGTGACAGTCTCATTGTCACAGGTCGGGTAGAACTATGAGGTGAGTGAAAAGCACTCACCTCATAGTTCTCCTTTAACTATTGCAACACACATCTACAGTGCATTATGGAGCGTTGTGCTAATGTGCGTTATAATGCATATTCTGGTGTGACCAAGCCCATATAAAGGTTGCCCATATACAGGTTGCCCATATACAGGTTGCTCTCACGTTACTGGCAAACAGCTGAGAGCATAAGAAGTGGGATAAGGATCCTCACGCTGCATCGTCTTGTGTGCTCTAATGAATTCGGGTCCCAACTGCACCCTGTAAGACTCAGGATTTGGTGTAAGACATCTGACCTGAACTCACACATCATCAATAGATGGAAGCCATATAAAGGCAGATCTTCATTGTAACTGGATCCCAAATCTCACCAGATCACTAACTGCCTGCAGTGTGGATAATTCTACCCCAGAATCCACTGCATGCTGTGTATATGCTGCAACACTGGTGTTGTCCTATCGCTGTACTCACTGTCACTCATATATTACCACACACAGCTTCTCTATTACAAGTGACGTTTTATTTTTAGCTTTACTTGAGATAATCACAAATGTATGGACCACAGAAGTCCCTACTCACCCCATTTCACACTGAGAGTCGCCTCCAGACTGCTGTGATCCACATGACAGGAGTAAGTGTCTTCCTCCCTTGTTGGTACTTCCGCACTGACTCTGATCTGATAGGTGCCGTCAGGATGGGGAAGAATCGGACTCATTTCATCTGAAGGAACATCATCTACTCCATTCTTCATCCATCTCACATGCACAGCTCGGGGGCGGAACCCGTACACCAGGCACTGAAGTCTTGTTACCCCTTCTGACTGACAGCCCCACACCTTCACCTCTGGACGCACTGAGAGGAGGAAAGAGAAGACAATATATGTGATCTACTGACAAATATAATCAGAGTCTGTCCTGTGAGATGAATGTGGATACATATGATGATCTCCAGAGTAAGGACACGAGGACACAATCCCCATTCACTATAATGTAAAGTCACCTGGAAGTAATGTCAGCAATGTACAGAGACATAAGCACACAGCTCAGTCCTGAGGACATTCCTATATAAGACTGTTTGTTACAAGAGATCCAACAGGAAATGATCGGGATGATGTAACATGGGAATTCTGAGATCACCGATAACCAGTAACCACCATCAACCAATCAAATCACTTTGAAGCTTTCAGAACAATACCAGATGAATACGGATATAAGTGACTCCACTTTACATGTTGTGCTTTGTCCTGATAAAGAAGAACTCCGGAATGAACAAAACTTCTATATTTTCTAGTCATAGAACCATTTAGATCTCTAAATATAACTTATTATCATTCCTGTTGCAGGTCTGGGAGCTGAAAAGACCAATACTATGTAAATCCGCTGATTTCTGAAACCATATAGACAATTAAATTGTGCATGTGTCCTAGTTTTGCTTTACCTATTCACACTGAGCGAGAACGGCTCTCTGTCAGTGACAACCGAGGTCCAGCACTAAGCCCAGGAAGTAAACAATCAGTTCCTGGGACTTCCAGTGCTGCACAACGCTCCATGCATGCATCTGTATCAGATCATTGTATACACAATACAAATACATTGGGGGAAATTTATCAACAGTGGAGCAGCTAAAATCTGGAGCAGTTGTGCATGCGAACCAATCAGATTCTCTCTTCAGTTTGTTCAGTTAAGATTTGAAAATGAAAAGAGAAGCTGATTGGTTCTCATGCACAACTGCTCCAGATTTTAGCTGCTCCACTTTTGATAAATTCCCCCATTGTGTTTACACTGGAAGGGATGTGATGTCACAAGTGATTTTTATTTCTCTCTGTGACTGCACTGGGGAGATTTTCCCACACTTCCTGTCCTAATGACATATATACAACAAAATAAAGGGGAGGGGCAGTTGTCACTGGGACAGGAAGGCACAAAGAACAATAAAATCATTGTCAGAAGTTCTGACACTCATGACAACCGACCTCGAAAGACAGACCCAGTCCATCAGTGAACTTTGAAGCATTACAGCGCACCTGGGCTCACGTGCCAGCAGAAACGGCCCTGCGTGCCCGCTCTGGCACGCGTGCCATAGGTGCGCCACCGCTGCTCTAACCTCTCCTTGTTTTATGTACCTAGACTGCGGCTCCCCTAGGGGTGAGCGCTACATGTACAACATATGAAATACAAGTATTGGCTGGAGTTGGGCTTTGGACTGGGATGGGAAATCTCTCCCTCAGCATAGCTCCTGAGCTGGGAATAATGTGCTGAGCCCAGAGATCTACATAGGTGTCAAATCACTTCTACATCCAGTACTGTGTGTACACCGGGCATTACAGTGTGTGCTGTGTGTACACCGGGCATTACAGTGTGCGCTGCGTGTACACCGGGCATTACAGAGTGTGCTGTGTGTACACCGGGCATTACAGTGTGTGCTGTGTGTACACCAGGCATTACAGAGTGTGCTGTGTGTACACCGGGCATTACAGAGTGTGCTGCGTGTACACCGGACATTACAGAGTGTGCTGTGTGTACACCGGGCATTACAGTGTGCGCTGCGTGTACACCGGGCATTACAGAGTGTGCTGTGTGTACACCGGGCATTACAGTGTGTGCTGTGTGTACACCAGGCATTACAGTGTTTGCTGTGTGTACACTGGGCATTACAGTGTGTGCTGTGTGTAGCAGCCATCTTCCTTAGGGGTGTCCCGATACCGGTGCTAGCATCAGTATCGGGACCGATACAGGGCATTTTGACAAGTTCTTGTACTTGTCAAAATGCCCCGATACATAGCGCCGAAGCTTGCGCTATTTTTTTTCCACTTACCTTCAGGCTGCTGTTCGGGAGAGCAGCAGCGAGTCAGGGCTGGTCCGGGGGGAGGAGCTCCAAGTGGGGTTCTAATTTAGCTGGCCGGCGACCGGGCAGTCGTCGGTCAGCTAAATTAGGACCCCACCTGGAGCTCCTCCCACAGGACCAGCGCTGACTTGCCGCTACTCTCGCGCACAGCGCCGACTACGACCCCACCAGCGAGGCACATCGTGAGGCGGATTCATTGTAACTCTATTACTGCAGTGTACTGGAAGTGTGTACCAGGTTAAATGATCCATAGCACACACTTCCAGTACACTGCAGTAATAGAGTTACAATTCTCCCCTGCTAACATGAATAGGTTAAATCAGGGGCGCCCACAATTTTCATCTGGAGATCTACTTTTCAAATGACGAGTTCATTGAGATCTACCAACGAAAACACACACCGGCATTCAGGGGTGGGAGGGGGCGTGGCGGTGCATTGAAGTCAATGGCACCGCAGCCAGGCTCTGCAACGCAGGCCCCTCGCCCACAGTGCGATCGCCTGCATTAGTGCCTGCGTTCCAGTCCAGTGCGATCCGCAAAAATGCTGCGAGCACTATTTTTGCAGATCACACTGGACCGGAATGCAGGCACTAATGTGCCTGCGTTCCAAGTGCGGGCGATCGCACTGTGGGTGGGGGGCATGGTTGCGGTGCCATTGACTTCAATACAACCACCTCCCGCACCTGAACGCAGGGAGTCGCCGGCTTACATTCCAGTGCGTCCTAGAGGTCCCGGCGTCCTGTCCTCCCGTGGTGCTCGTGTGGCCGACGTTGCACATGGGGAGAGGTGTCCTGCCCCTTTCCATCTGCAGTGGCAGCCGCATGAGTACCGCGGGAGGCAGCTCCTTTTGCGTCTTTGTCTTTTACTTTTTTTTTATTTTATTTTCATTATTTCTTATTTTTTATTTTAATTCTTAACATTTTTATTTTTTTAAACTCTTTTTTACTCTACGCGATCACTGGCAGATCGCGATCGACCTTGTGGGCACCCCTGGGTTAAATGATCCCAGAGGCATGATCGGAAAATAAAAAAAATAAAAATTGTTCTTAAACAGTTCTAAATTAAAGTTCTTCATAATCACAAAGAAATTGGCCTAAAATCATTAGTCTGTATTGTTTTTAAAAAAAGTGACCTGTCCGTTTAAGAAACAGTATCAGTAATTGGTATCGGCGAGTACATGAGGGGAAGGTCCTGAAATAGTGGTATCGGGAGATCCCTAATCTTCCTATAGACCACATCTGTCTCAATGTCAGCTCATTGACTATATGTCATCAGGGAATGCTGGGAACTGTAGTTCCACGGGAGTTATAAATACATGTACGACCTACACTGCTCATGCGCAGACAAAAATACTCGCGGTCGATTGCCGCAATTCATCCAGGTGCTTTTCTTTCATTACGGCTAATTGAATCTTGCGATAATCGGGGCATTATGGGGCCGCCGTACGACAAGCGTAAGGTGTATGGGCACCTTCATGTCTTGTTCACACCAAATGCAGAGCAGATGCGGTCAGGTTTCTGCACACGCACGCTAGTCTTTTAGATGCGTTTTTGACAAAAAAAGTTTTTATTTTTTTAAGTTTAAAATGGGCTTTCAGTGCGTTCCAGGCATTTGGAGGAAGATTATACATCAGAATGATTACTACCGAGTATCAACAATTGTGTACATAGAATATTTGTGTACATAGTATATACAGAATGAGTAAATCATAGTGTGTACAGTGTCTATACAGTGTACACATGTCACTGCATGTACAGTATATGTAGTGTGTGTATACAGTATATCTGTAGTCTAATGTATGTACACACTGTAGTATGTATACACAGTGAGGCGAATTTATCAAAACTGGAGAAGACAGAAACTGGAGCAGCCGTGCACGGCAACCAATCATCATCCACCTTTCATATTCAAATCTTAACTGAACAAACTGAAGAGAGAAGCTGATTGGCTGCCATGGGCAACTGCTCCAGATTCTGTATGTATGTCCAGTTTTATAAATCCCCCTCACTGTATATACAGTGCTGTATATTTCCGTGTAAGTATATATTAATGTATATGGTGTAGTGTGACTACAGTATTGTGTGTATATCTCAGTGTTAGTATATAGTGGTGTATACAGTGTATATGTGATGTAGTGTATATGTGATGTGTGTATATACACTGTATATGTGATGTGTGTATATACACTGTATATGTGATGTGGTGTTTACAGTGTATATGTGATGTGTGTATATATACAGTGTATATGTGATGTAGTGTATATGTGATGTGTGTATATGTGATGTGGTGTATACAGTGTATATGTAATGTGGTGTATATACAGTGTATTTGTAATGTGTGTATATACAGTGTATATGTAATGTGGTGTATATACAGTGTATATGTGGTGTATACAGTGTATATGTAGTGTATATGTGATGTGTGTATATACAGTGTGTGACGGACCCCTGTACTGAGGATGAGTATGTCCGCCGCTGTCTTCTTCCTTGCTGAGGAGATCTTGCCACCTTAAGATCCTTAGCTCCCAGTTTCCCCAGTCACTAGCCAAGGCACGGGTACACTCTCTCCTGGGAACATTTCCAGCTGCTGGGGAGAAATGACAGCTGTACCTTCTCCCTGATGCTCTTCCAGTCGCTGGGATGAAGGGACAGCTAATTCCTCTCCTTGGGAAGCACTCAGCCCCTGGGGACTAGTGTGCGCTGCACCTTTTTCCAGCTGCTCCATCTGCCGCTGGGGAGAGAGGTCAGCTACCTCCACTCCCTGGATCTCCATCTGCCCCTGGGGAGAGAGGTCAGCTACCTCCACTCCCTGGATCTCCATCTGCCCCTGGGGAGAGAGGTCAGCTACCTCCACTCCCTGGATCTCCATCTGCCCCTGGGGAGAGAGGTCAGCTACCTCCACTCCCTGGATCTCCATCTGCCCCTGGGGAGATCACCGTGTCGTCACACAGTGTATATGTGATGTGGTGTATACAGTGTATATGTAATGTAGTGTTTATACATTGTATATGTGATGTGTATATATAGTGTATATGTGATGTAGTGTGTATACAGTGTATATGTGATGTGTGTATACAGTGTATATGTGGTGTGGTGTATACAGTGTATATGTAATGTAGCGTGTATACAGTCTATATGTGATGTAGTGTATATGTGGTGTGGTATATACAGTTTATATGTGATGTGTGTATATACCGTGTATATGTGATGTGGTATATACAGTGTATATGTGATGTAGTGTATATGTGATGTGGTATATACAGTGTATATGTGATGTAGTGTATATGTGATGTGGTATATACAGTGTATATGTGATGTAGTGTGTATACAGTGTATATGTGATGTGTGTATACAGTGTATATGTGGTGTGGTGTATACAGTGTATATGTGATGTGTGTATATACAGTGTATATGTGATGTGTGTATATACAGTGTATATGTGGTGTGTATATATAGTGCGGTGATAATAAAGTTATACAGTCACCTCTCTTCTCCAGATCTTCTCTCCCGTACCCGATGAATTGTTTGAGCTCCTCTATACATCGATTCTCCAGATAATTCTTCCATCTCTCCCCCACTCTCTCCTCCGGACTGTTCCATCTCTGTGTGGAGATCTGAGCCTCGTTCATGGTTGGGATCCATTGAGCTCTCTTTGTGTCCAGATACAAGAACTCTCTCCCGTCATATCCGTGCTGGAAATACCCGTCAGTGGTGCCGTCATCTCTCAGCTCACAGCCGTACATCTCCTGCCAGGTATGGATCCCTGCAGACAGGACAGGAAGATGTTACACGGGAGCAGAGCGTGTCATGTATGTAATATGTGGTGTGTAGAAGGTGATTATATGGAGGGGTGCGGTGTGTACATGTAATGTGTGTATGTAGATTATATGTATATGTTCTCTTATATTAGTGGGAAACATGCTTTATGTGTGTAAGAACAGATTACTCCTGTGAGCTCCTCTCCCTGCCCCCGTAACCCATCCGGGGCCGTGGGGGGGGAGGAGGGGTGTAGGTCATGTGACCCCCAGATGCCTCCCAGATCAACAAAACATAAAAAAACTACAAATCAATAATTATTATTGTCAACAACGGAGCTAAGACAGTAACACAGCAACACTGACCCAGACAAACGACCCAACAACATATTCCCGGTCCAATCCTCCATCATCCATGTGACGTGTCGGCCTTTCCTCCTTCTGTATACAAAGATTTCCTCGTCATTACTTACTTCCCGGGTCCTCCATGTCTATATTTAGGAGCTGTGTCCTGGATGGATCTCCGGATACAGCGTATATTGTACATGAGTTACCGTTATCACTTGTTATGGATGTTTCACTGTCAAAGAACATGATTTGTAGAAATGATGAAACTGCTCCAATGTTTCAATTTATGTTTTATTACCTGGCTGGGGGATGGGTCTGAGATTTGATTCCTCTCCTCCCCCTCACAGGGGATCTTCCTATAGGGTGCAGATGACTGGAGGGGGGCAGGTAGGGCGGCAACTAATGATTATTTTCATAATTGATTAGTTGGCCGATTATTTTTGTGATTAATCGGATAAAATAAATTAAATACCATTATTCATTTAAAATAAAATACACAAATAAAACTACAAGCACAATTTTTTTGCAATCGCACAGCATTGTGGTACCGCGTGTTCCAGTGCAGGCGATCGCACTGCGGGCAGTAGGCTGGTTTGGGGCGACATTGAAATAAATGGCATCACGACACACCTCCGGCAGCAGAATTTTTTACACCTTTTTTACATTTTGTTTTAATAATTGTATGTGTTATATTAGACATCTTATTCGTTTTATGGATTTAAAATAATTTAAATTGAAAAACTCCGACCAATAAAATCAAATAAACAAACTTTTATTTATAACAACACACCGAAATTGGACAAAAAATAAAATGATATAGAATATATACAGTGGGGGGGATTTATCAATAGTGGAGCAGACAAAATCTGGAGCAGTTGCCCATGGCATCCAATCAGCTTCTCCCTTCAGTTTGTTCAGTGAAGATTTGAAAATGAAAGGTGGATGCTGATTGGTTGCCATGGGTGACTGCTCCAGATTTTGATAAATCCCCCCCTGTGTGTATATACATATATATATATATAATTATAAATATAAAAGCCGGTCATCAGTTTAGAGTTAGCCATGAATATTGGCCGGAGAATTATTGCTCTCACTCTGGCGCATGTAGTGATACCTGACATGTGAAGCGCAATCCTTGTTTTGTGATGTAGGTGCACCCGACTTGATTTTCCGCTAGTATGCGCGCGCTCACAAAGGGGCGGGGACTTTTTTTTGCATTTTTCATTTTATTTTACTTTCACTTTTAAACTTTTTTTTTTTTTAACTTCACTTCACTTTTTAACTTACCATTATTGCTATCCCATGAGGGGACTCACAAGGCCCCTATGTGATAGCACATTGAAGGGGACAGGTTCTCTTTAAGTTGACATTAGGGGACTATTAGACCCCTAATGTCCCTAATGTCATCTTTCCACTTAAAATAAGCTATTTAACTACACATCGTGCTTGAATAGCTGCAGCTGCGGAATAAGTTCTGCCAGCGGTAAGATTCTGCAGGTGGCGGCTGAATGTAAACACAGCAGGCAGCAGCAGGCAGCAGGCGGGTGCAATAGCAAGCCTGTTATTGGATATTTTAAATTGCAATAGCCAATAGCAGGCTGGCTATGGCACCCAGGGCCGGATTTACTCTCCCTGCCACCCCAAGACCAGATTCCACAATGCAGCGGAGCGAGGAGAGCTTCGGGGGATTCAACATTGCTGCCGCCCCTCCGCTCCGAGGCTGGGCCTCGGTGGCCTTGTGGGGAATCCGGGCCTGATGGCACCCGCCCACTGCCTGCTGTCAATCAGCAGAGGAGGGACCTGAAGGAGAAAGTTCAGGTCTCTCCTCTGCTGTGTCCCCTCTGATCCCCACTAGGAGCAGGGGCATCAGAGGGGACACAGGGCCGAGGTTTGGGGATCTCTCCCCACTGCTGGACACTGGCTGCAGGAGTCTGTGTACAATGACACAGAGCCGATAACACACCGGCTTCCAGCGCTGGGGGGAGAACTAGAAGATCCAACCAACTAATCAATAATGACAACTACTCTCATTGATATTATTGATTAATCAATTAGTTGGTTACAGCCATGGGGCAGAGCAGTGTTCTGAGAGCTGACTGATAAAGAACTCACGTACACGTGTGTATTCCAGAGTAGGGATCGACCAATATCATTTTCCAGAGCCGATACCGATATTCGATCGCCTTTCAGTACGAGAGCCGATATCTGGTGCCAATATTCTGTACATGTAAAGTTGTGAAAAATCAACACAATTTTTAAGTATACTGAGACCTGCAGAGCCCGTGTGACCACACACTCATGCTTGGACTTGTATTACCTGGTGACCTAATGCTGAGACTAGAAGTCCTCTGATGACCTCACAGGCATGCTGGGACTTGTGTTACTCTGGGGCCCACAAGTATACTGGGGACAGCCCCACTCCCAGAATACTTGTCGTCTTCAGAGGAACACAAGTCCCAGCATGCCTGTGAGGTCCCCTGGGGTCTTCTAGACTCAGTATGCCTGCCAAACATGTATGTGTGGTGCCGGGGTCTATAGGTCCTAGAATACTTGTGGTCTTCAGAGGAACACACGTCCCAGCATGCCTGTGAGGTCCGCAGGGGCTTCACAGCAGGGTATACGCGCTTTGTGGAGCCCAATTCAGATAGTGAGTCAGCCCCCCCCCCAGCTGACTCCTCCACCTTCCTGACCCCAGGCACATAGACGCTAACACTGAGACTGATAAGACAAGGATCTACTTACCTCTGTGCATCATGGGCATTATTTGGTTTGAAAGTTGCTTTTATCTGTTCCTATTGGTTCTCGTTTGGGGGTGATTCATGTTTAGTGAGGAAGGGGGATTGTCCCTTATTGTCTATAAATGTTTGTCCTGTTTGAAAATAAAGTGTGTCTTTGTTTTAACCTCAAAACTAGTGTTGTCTAGATCTTGGAGGTATATGCTGGCCGGGAAGATACTGAGTAGGGAAGCAGTATTTAGCAGAGATACCAGGCGGGGTATCAGGGGAGTCCGTCACATTTGGTGGCAGCGGAGGGATTGCTTCCCTGTACCCGGGCTAACTATATCATAGCCAGGTCCCTGTTGGATGGAGCAGCGGTACGCCAATCTCAAGCGTAATACCCTCAAGGATCTGTTGGAGGCTCGAGGGCAGTGTAGCAGCTGCAAATCCAAAGCTACTATGATCAACGACTTGATGGAGGGCGACCGAGTGAGAGAGAGAGCCAGCGAACCGGCCGCGGAAGACCACAACCTCTCGGAGCTACAGAGGGACATCCAGTGGCAGCTGGCTCTGTACGATCCCAATCTGCCACAGGGGGTGATCAGTCCGATCATCACAGATGCGACACGGCTGAACATGGTAGAAAGGCAGCAGGCAGGCGCGTGGAGAAGTGGTACCTGCTAATCGAGAGCACTACAAGAAGTTGCCCTACGCTGCGTTCAGGCAGGCGGGTATCAGGGGAGTCCGTCACAATACCTTTTCTTTTATCTTTATTAAAACCTGCTGTGTACTTTATTATAGGGCTGGTAATGATTAAAATTTTCGTGTTCGATTATTCAAAATCAAAAAAATCGATTCATTTCGATTAATTATAACGCACATACAGATCCAACTACATTAACCTATACACATACAGCACTGCAATTAAGTAATAAAATGAACTAGGATCACATTAATCCAGCCAGGACCGTCTTTAACGCACGGCAAAAGGGGCAGTTGCCCCGGGCCCACTCATTGCTGTGGGGCCCAAAGCAGCTGCCCCTTGAGCCAGCAAAAGATACACATGGGTACCGTTCTGTTTAATATGCAATACCCATCGCATACTGTTGTTCTGCCCCTGACGTACGCTGTGTGACCTTGTGATGTCTCATGCGGGATCACCACTTACTTGGGGTCACGTCTCTCTTTGAGCTGTCTTCTCCTATCTGCTCCTGTCGCATAGTATGGGCCAGGGCGTGGTGCGTAGGGGCGGGGGAAAGCCCAAAAAAATGTTTGCCCAGGGTCCAATCAATATTAAAGACGGCCCTGAATCCAGCACGTTATTAATCTCACGTGCCCCACTCAGTAATCTTTAATTTCCACAGCCCTACTTTATTACTTTTTTTTTCAGAGTAGAAGTACTACTTCTGATTATTAATTATTTAGCTTGTTCAGTGACACAGACACTGGCCCCTCTGCCTTTAATATCATGACAGACAGAGGGGGAGGAGGAACACATGCTGGGCACACGCTGCTACGGTACACAGGCTGGGGACACGCTGCTACAGGACACAGGCTGGGGACACGCTGCTACAAGGGACCTCTCTAGATCTGAGCGGGCGTCTTTAGACGTCCGCTCAGACACGCCCCCTCGCGCGCGCTGAGCGGGAAATAGCCGTTTTTTTTAAAACAGGCAGCGATGCCTGTTACCATACAAGCGATCCGCCGGCTTTAGGGCCAGCGGATCGCGTGTATTGGGTGCCGATCGAATAAAAAAAAAATAAAAAAATTTTAAAGTCCCCACCCATACATACCCGCATGCAAACATGCATCGGGGGCGCATACGTGCAAAAAAGACGATTGCGCCCATATCTAAACACCTGGTCTTGAAGTGGTTAAAGACCGGTTCTTATGTATTTGGGCTAACCAACACTTTTAAATGAGGAATGTTTAGATAATTAATTCCGCTAATCGATCAATAGGTGGCGTGTGCAAGCACTGTGCCGACAATCCTTCATGAAAAGAGGAACTTTTTTGCATGGAATGATTAAACTTGCAACATTTCATAAAAGCGGTTAAATTATAGAGAACTTGTTTCCTGTTTGTATCTTCATGTCCCTTTCAACTTCATGAGTCCACAACAACATACCCATAATATTATCCACAAATTCCATTTACAGTAACGAATGATTCAAAACCATGTGTGGGGCCCATTCTGAATGCGTGTATGTTAATGAGGTTTGCGGACAATGTTGTCAATTTTTTTTATGTTTAATGGCCAGCTGCACAATGATGGTGTTTTGTATTATGTTTAAATAAACTTTTTTTAAATGTTTTATATTTTGTGTTTGTCCCGGTCCTTTAGTAACTAATGTGGTCGGCTATTTCTAATATGACCGACAATTTTGTACATTGCATTTCCTTTTGGTTACGGACCTTGAGGATGGACATTTAAATTTTATAGGGGTTAATATTGATATACTCGCATCTCTAAAGGATAATTATCTATGGTTATTTTATTATATTGGCTAAGAGTTTTACAATTCACATTATTTTAAATCCATTAAACTAATTGTAATGTCTAATATAATACACACACAAAAATAATACAACATATATATATATATATATATATAGTGGGAAAAGTAATTTTCAGTTTCGGCCCGACAAATTTTGCTGCAGGAGGTGCGTTGTGGTGCCATTCATTTCAAAGGATCCCAAATACACCTCCCGTCCGCAGTGTGGTCGCCCGCACCGGAACGGGCGGTATTGCAATGGTGGTATTCATTTTTATTTTATCCGAAGTTAATAATCTGCTAACTCAGGGCTCAAAATTTCCACTAGCCCCCTCGCAAATTGCGAGTGAAAATTGCGTGGGGGCGAGTGGAAATGTAGCTATTGAGTCTGGCACTGTCACGGAGGCAGCTGCTCGTCCAGCCATAGATCGGATCAGCAGCTCCTCCTCAGAGCTGACTTGGGGAAGCGTCCTGGCTGCCTGCATATGCTCAGTGCAATCTCTCTTTCCCAGAGAGTGTCAGCGTCAGTGTTTCCTGGGCAACCCGGCCCGCCATGGCTCTGAAACCCGAGCTTTCTGCTGTCACAAATGTATTGATTAATATGAGCAAATATGTTTGTGTAATTCCCTTTGTGTAATGCCCTGTGTGTAATGCTGCGTGTATGCCCTGTGTGTAATGCTGCGTGTATGCCCTGTGTGTAATGCTGCGTATATGCCCTGTGTGTAATGCTGCGTGTATGCCTTGTGTGTAATGCTGCATGTATGCCCTGTGTGTAATGCTGCGTGTATGCCCTGTATGTAATGCTGCGTGTATGCCCTGTGTGTAATGCTGCGTGTATGCCCTGTGTGTAATGCTGCGTGTATGCCCTGCGTGTAATGCTGCGTGTATGCCCATCCTGTAATGCTGCGTGTATGCCCATCCTGTAATGCTGCGTGTATGCCCATCCTGTAACCCTGCGTGTATGCCCTGCGTGTTGTGCGTATGCCCTGCGTCTTGTGCTGTGCGTATGCCCTGCGTCTTGTGCTGTGCGTATGCCCTGCGTCTTGTGCTGTGCGTGTTGTGTCGCGTGTTTGTGCTATGCCCAGCAAGAGAATGATTAGTTTGTTCCCAGGTACACTTTAGCTCAGGACCTGAAATTTTGAGCCCTGTACTAGACAGTCCCCTGGTAATCTTATACATACAGGGTCATTATAATCTGGTCTGTGAGGGACACATACAGGACACCAGGGAAACGATATATCTAGTGAATTTCTCCTAACTCCGATCATTATTGTCTTTGCAGGAGTCCGGTAACTGTGGAAGCACACGGCTCTCCAGCATTACTAATATATTTCTCTGGTGATCAATGTTTATGACATACTTCCAACTTTAGCGGTTTTGTGAAGTCACAGCAATGGGGTTCATTTACTAAATGAGTAGACACTCTTCACACTGCACAGTGATCATTCAATAACCTTAGTAAATAAGATGATGTTTCATGAATTTGAAATACCCGATCATATGCCAGGAACAAATCGGATTTTTGCTTTCACCTAATTGGATGAATGGAGTGAATACAGATTCATGAAATGTAATATTCTCACTGAACATTTAACTTTCCGGGCAGGCAGTCCGTACATTTTTAATGTGTACACCTCAATGTGTTTTGTGGTGCCTTTGTCTACATTTTAGTCAGTGTTAGTCTATTTAGTGTAATAAATAAATATCATTGTGTGTAAGAATTGTCTCACCTCCAGTCTGGTTGAATCGGCTCATCAGTATCTGCACACCATGCTTGTACACGGGCTCATTGTTCTGATTTTGTTTTGTGTTTCTCTCCCAGTAGTCAGATCCCGCTTTCTTCATCCACTCAGTTTTGGGAAGATACTGACGAGTGTCACTGTTATAATTCTCTATCTCCCGATCATCCAGATATCCGACTACAGAGTACACAGGAAGTCCGGATCCCGGAGAGGAGACTGCGGTTTCATAATACCTCAAAGAGTGAGTGTCTGAGAGAGAAAATAGAGGATCGTTCAGTGAAGCAAATAGCGAAGTTGTAACATATTATACTTCTGTGCTGACAGACTCCCAACGTAACCTCACCCATCTGGCCAGCACAGGTATGTCATATACTCACTGATTATCAGAATGGTGTTCTAGGTGTGCGCCACTTCAATCCCAATAATACTACTCTACTTATAAAGTGCTGAAGTGCTTATTCAAACATAATCTGTGTTCATACTACCAATCAATCAATAAAATAATAATAAATACAATTCTTGCATATAGAAAGAAGAAAGGCTCTTCAACTAAAAAGCTGGCAGCGTAATAGGATAATGGGCTTTGAAGGCAAATATAGGATCTTCAACGACATATTTAAAATGTATAAAATCACAAAAAACTTTATTCTAAGCTTAAAAACTATGTACATGAATGCTCAGCCAGAGCTTAGTGCGATATTACATCAAATGCACATTCATAAGGATGATGGAATCTGTAGATGAACAAAGTCCTTAAATGAAGTCCATCAGTCATCAAGACTGTGGGATATCCTTTACGCGTTTCACCAACTCTATGGCTTCCTCAGGAGGAACATACTCCACCAGTGTGAGTAGATATAGCCAGCTGTTCTTTATTTATAGTGCCTAGTAGCTGTTGTTTCATTTGCACTGGCGCAGATCATTATTGTTTAGAATGCTAATGATTATAGGGTATTATTTATATTAGGATTATATATGAATGTGAAGGACGTAAATGATGATTGATTTTCTATATTTTTATTTGTTCAGTTTAAGAATGTACACAAGAAGACTTAGAAAGTCCATGATTTTGGACCTGGGTTTTCAATACCTGATAGCTGAAGTGACACTAATCTCAGGAGCTAAACCTTACAAATACATTCAAGAACCTTAACTATTAACAGAAATGTCTCTTATTTGTGTATCACTCGGCTGTAGATCCTCCAATCATCTCTGAATTGGTGCTGACCCTGTCCTTCCTTCTGGAGGGGGGCTACTTGTGTTCCCCATGGTCCCTGTGTGTGTTGTAAAGTAGTCACCGCTCCAAGCTCACTCCTGTGATGGACTACAATCTAATGTTTAGTTTACTAATTTGTACTGAGATTGTAGTCCATCCCGGGAGCGAGCTTGGAGCGGTGACTACTCTACAACACACACACGGGACCATGGGTAACAAAAGTAGCCCCCCTCCAGGAAGGAAGGACAGTGTCAGCACTAGGGATGTCCCGATACCGATGCTAGCATCGGAATCGGGCCCGATACAGGGCATTTTGACAAGTACTTGTACTTGTCAAAATGCCCCGATGCCTAGCGCCGAAGCTTGCGCTATAGGCGATGCAGCAATCCTGCCCAGCGCCGACCACGAGAGGCGCCGCATGAGGCTACGGGGATCGGAGTGAAACTGTGAGTAAGGGAAGCTGGGACGGGGCTGGCTGTAAATCTATTGCTATAGTGTACTGGACGTGTGTAATGTATGTGTAGTAGATATATGCAGCACACACCTCCACTACACTACAGCAATAGAGTTACAATTCTCCACTGCTAACATGAGTAGGTTAAACCATGATCCATAGTACATAACAGGTAGTTGTACTATGGATCATTTAAAGTCACCTGTCCCTTTAAGAAAAAGTATCGGTTATTGGTATCGGCAAGTACATGAGGGGATGTACTTGTACTTGGGCCTGAAAAAGTGGCATCGGGACATCCCTAGTCAGCACCAATTCAGAGATGATTTGAGGATCTACAGCCGAGTGATACACAAATAAGATACATTGTTGTTAATAGTTAAGGAACCTGAATGTATTTTTGAGGTGTAGCTCCTGAGTTTAGTGTCACTTTAGCCATCAGGTATTGAAAACCCAGGTCCAATTTTTGCTGTCTGATACTGAAGTCATCTGGATAACTCCCACTCTGCTATAGAGAGGGTGTCTGACCACCCTCTAATAACTATGGCTGCCTCTAGTTCAGCATGGTCACCCCCATTTGAGATCAGCTAATACTAATAAGAGCAATGTCAGGAAACTAATGGCAGGTAATCTTCTGTCCGGTGTGACCAGATTTGGTGAATACACAAAAGGAAATCACAGAACTGTACAACCGAAGTCCATTTATTGTGATCACACCGACACAAATAACACAAAACATTTACAACAATAATACATACGAATGAAACACGAAAGCTGAAACCAACTACCCTGTTTCCCCGAAAATAAGACCTACCCCGAAAATAAGACCTAGTTGTGACCATTCCCAGGGCCTGTGGTGGCATAAGGGGGAACTTGAATAGCCGCAGGAGAGAATCAGCAGTGCCAATGAAGCTGTCCTGTCACAGGCGGAGTGATACCAAATGCCATAGTAAAAGCGCGCTTCGCTCATTCTGGCCAGCGATTGGTTACCAAATTGCTCTTGGAAAGGTACAGCGTCCCTGATTGCCCTGATCACCCTATTCTCAACTTTGTCATTTTGGATGATTTCATTTGGATTTGCATTAATTTTGGATTGTTGTACATAAAAAAAAATATGACCTACCCCGAAAATAAGACCTAGTGTGTTTTTTTTGAGCCCCAAAAAATATAAGACAGTGTCTTATTTTCGGGGAAACACGGTATATACAATCCACAACTAATGCCTATTGTGCCTATTATAAGATATACACGAATATTACACAAGATGTCTTATAACATGAAGACATTTTATTACTTTCTGATCTCTGACAACCAAAATAACTTTATTGACTTTTTCTATCGAACTTCTATCATTTATTGCTGTGATAGTTCTTTAATCTATAACCATTTCTCATCATCTTACTAGGATTGTTCCCATCATCATCATCCTTGGACTGTGCACAATGCTCTGTCACATTGATCCTCATGTTGGGCTCAGTAGTTCCAGTCCTCCCTGTATAGGACATACTCCATGCACACCTCTCACTTCTATTACACCTTAAGAAAATCAGATTACAGCTCAGCCATGAAAACATCACGATGGAGCCAGTAACGTTGATGGAGCCAGTAAAGTTCTCTGTGATAATCCTCCTGTGTGGTGATATACGTATGCGTGGCACTCATCCTCTACTATGACATATCACACAGCACATGGTGACATTTCTGTACATTACTCCCCATAGAAATCCCAATTTCCAGAGTTTTACCTGAAATCACAGCTCTGATCTCCACCACAAAACAAATAACATTCCGTCCTCTCACCAATGATGAGATGTGTTATAATCAATCACTATTCTACAAATACAGACAACATACTACAGGTGTGACATCACTACCCTCTGTATACAGGTTATATCTATACAGGTGTGACATCACTACCCTCTGTATACAGGTTATATCTATACAGGTGTGACATCACTACCCTCTGTATACAGGTTATATCTATACAGGTGTGACATCACTACCCTCTGTATACAGGGGATATCTGTACAGGTGTGACATCACTACCCTCTGTATACAGGTTATATCTTTACAGGTGTGACATCACTACCCTCTGTATACAGGTTATATCTTTACAGGTGTGACATCACTACCCTCTGTATACAGATTTTATCTTTGCAGGTGTGACATCACTACTTTCCGTATACAGGAATATCTACACAGGTGTGGCATCACTACTCACCACATACACGTATGACATCACTTCTCTCTGTATACAAGTTATATCTGTGCCGGCATGATATCACTACTCTCTGTATACAGGTGATATCTGTACAGGTGTGACATCACTAGTCTCCATATACAGGTAAAGTGACTCTGCAACTATGTAAAGCGCTGTGTACATTGTTGGTGCTATATAAATACCTGTAGTAAATATACAGGTTATATGAACAAACTGAAGAGAGAAGCTGATTGGTTGCCCTGGACAACGTCTCCACATTCTGTCTGCTCCACTTGTGATAAATTCCCTCCATCATCTTTCTCCTAATATCAGGGAATATTTTACAGCATATTTCATAAATAAAATAGAATACCCCTCCCCCCCAACTCACCACAATACACTCCTGACACCCCGAGAATAAGCAGGATGAGGGGGGTCATCTTCATTTCATCCTCCGGGGGGGGAGGGGTTATATCTACATACGGAGAGACTTCAAAACAACTCCAGGAACTTCAGACATGCTGAGGGAAAATGACACAGTGGGGTTGATTTACTAACCTTTTAAACACACCACGAACGTGTATACACCTCTGTAGTGTGTTCCCTCCCAGCATGATCTATGGGAGGAATCGAAACACCTTTGTAGTGTGTACACACCCAGCAGGTGTGTTGTGCAAAGCCCTGCAATGAATTGCAAGGTAATGTGGTGTAAATTAGCTCTATGTTATGTTGCTTGCGTTGATGAATGCAGGAATGTAAATGCATGAGCTAACCATTTTTGTCTAAACTGTGAAGCAGCATTATATATGCATCATGTGCATGATTTTTCCATATATGGCATTAGTGGAAATATGCTTTTAGAGACTTTTTGGTTGATAAATACGTTTTGCTGTGTGAAAATCACACGCACCTGGTGTGTGTGTGTGTTTAGGTTAGTAAATCACCCCCACTGAGTGACTCACTGATCTGTGTACCAGAAGGAGGAGCTCTGTGCTGATTGGATGAACTTGGCTCTCTGTCCAATAAAAAAATTAATACTGAAATCATCAGCAGTTGCCGGGTAGAGGTTGTCTGAACAGGTTGTGAACACTGCAATATATAAATGGGAGAGAAAGTGAAAGTGAAACCTGAGCTGATTATTATTATTATACAGGATTTATATACAGTATAAGGCCAACAGTTTGCTGAGCGCTTTACAATATAAGGAGACCATTACAGTTACAATACAATTCAAGACAAGATGGTAAGGAGGACCCTGCCCTTACAATCTAAAATGGAGGGGCAAGTGATACACGAGGAGGGAGCTGTGTGGGGATGAAATGTTTGAGAATGTGATGGTTGAGTAATTAGGTTCAGCTGGTACAGGCTTCCCGGATGAGATGAGTCTTAAGCGAACGCCTAAAGGCAGTCAGAGTGGGAGATAGTCGGACAGGTTGGGGTAAAGAGTTCCGGAGGATGGGAGAGACTCTGAAGAAGTCCTGGAGGCGAGCATGGGAGGAGTTGACAAGGGAGCTGGAAAGCAGGAGGTCTTTGGAGGAGCAGAGGGGGCGGTTAGGGTGATACTTTGAGATAAGGTTTGAGATATAGCCGGGGGCAGAGTTGTGGATGGCTTTATATGTGATTGTTAATATTTTGAATGTTATCCTTTGGGCTATTGGAAGCCTGTGCAGGGATTGGCAGAGTGGGGCTGGGGATGGAAGCTGGTGGAGGGATTGGCAGAGGGGGGCTGGGGATGGAAGCTGGTGGAGGGATTGGCAGAGGGGGGCTGGGGATGGAAGCTGGTGGAGGGATTGGCAGAGGGGGGCTGGGGATGGAAGCTGGTGGAGGGATTGGCAGAGGGGGGCTGGGGATGGAAGCCAGTGCAGGGATTGGCAGAGGGGGGATGCAGACACGGAGTGGTTGGTCAGGTGGATGAGTCTAGCAGCAGCATTCATGATAGACTGAAGGGGGGAGGAGCCTGTGTAGAGGTCGACCAATGAGGAGGGTGTTGCAATAGTCAAGACGAAATATAACAAGGGAGTGGATGAGTAATTTTGCGGTGTCATTGGTGAGGAAGGGGCGTATTTTGGAGATGTTACGAAGGTGAAGGCGGCAGGATTTGGATAGTGATTGGATGTGGGGAAGAAAGGTGAGGTCCGAGTCAAGGATGACACCTTGGACCTTGGTATGGGGGGGGGGATAGTTGTGTTAACAATCTCAACTGAAATGTTGGGGGAAGGTGCACGGGTAGGAGGAAATATCATGAGCTCAGTTTTTGAAAGGTTGAGTTTTAAGAAATGTTGTGACATCCAGGATTTTGAAATAGCTTAAGGCTGGGTTCACACCTAGGCGTATTGAATATGCGCGTTTCGTGCAGCGTGTTTTTTGTTTCCGAGGGCTACTTGGCTGTATCCCAATAGAAACGCGCGACAAAAACGCCCCAAAGAAGCTCCTGTACTTCTTTGGGCGTAGGCCGTTTTATAGCGCGTTCAGACGGCCTGAAATACGCCCAGGTGTGAACCATAACCATATGAAACAATGGGATTTCAACGCCCAGGTGTGAACGGGGCCTAAAACCCTTTTGACTTTAATATCACTTTAAGGTGTCTACGTTACCTGTGTGGATATAAACACCGGGGTATTTTCCTGACACTCATTAGAACTAAAGAAGTGGTTTGGATAAGCTATGAAACATCTTCAACATTACAGAACAAGCCCAGTTGAATGTGACCAACTATTACAAGCTATACCATGACCTGGATAAATGAGAACCTTCACAGACATCCGTGTTGGACCTTCTTAGGTAGAATTTGATTTATTAAACCCTCAGCACAGCATTGTCATTGGGTAGGTCTAAATTCTTAAATCCTTTTTGAACTCCGGTATTCAGAAGACCGGCCTCCACATAAGAGACAGGATAAGCCAAAGCTACTATGGTACACCACCTTCTTCCACAGCTTTTTAAATGCCCCTATAATTAAGAAGTGTTTCAAAACATCCGTGCTGTCACAGGGTTTGCAAAACGTACTAATCCTTGAAGCTACAGTATGTCTGTGGAACATTTCTAGATCCATCCTCCTCAATAGTCCTTCATGTCCGCCAAGTATTGCTCCAGACCCACATCAGCCAATGCCCAACAAGGCAAAGTGGACCATGTAGGTTCAAGCATGTGTGCTACAGAATTGCTGTCTACAATGTGCAATGAAGATGGGACCCTTCCCCCACTGGATCTACTCCCAGATGTAAGTGGTAGAACCCAGTGCACTAAAAAGGAAAGAGAGATAATTGTCTAATACAAGAACATGCATCTCACAGAACAAATTGTAAAGTTCCATCTAACACATGAATAGGTGACCAAGTAAGGCGGGAAGTGAATAGAACGACAAAGAAAAAATGGTGCACACAATCCAGAAACAGATGTTCTTATTACCTGTGCAGTCACATCAGAGTTCCACAGCCATGAGAACCAGGAATACATCCAGAAGTATCAGGCTCCTACACAAGCAATTCTCATGGCAGCATTCAAGCCATTTCTCAGCACACCAAGTACTTCAAAACAGAGCACTGAAACTGGAACACACAGTCACGTCCCTGAACATACTCAGATCAAACATAACAACATAATAATAAACACAATATAAAACTTGTTGCGCACCTTGGTACTTGTAAATAAGGATGGGCTGCATGTTCGAGTCGACCATAGGTTCAACTCGAACATTGCATGTTCTAGCGTTCGCCGAACGCCAAACATTATGGGATGTCCGCGGTCTGTTCGACCCCGGCACATCCCACAATGCACTGCGCCGTCCGAAAACGGTAATTGGCTACAGTACTGCACCTGACCGCAGGTCAGGTGCAAGACTGTGCCAATCAGGGCTCAGTACAAATGTAGAGCCATGATTGGGCAGAGTCAGGTTGACTCTGCCCAATCATGTCTCACAGCTAAGTCCATGCAGCACACTATATAAGGCTGCTGACACCGCTGCCCCATGTAGTGTGAGTTGTAAATAGGGATGCACTGATACCGATACTGAGTATTTCCGATTTATGTATCGGTTGATGATATGTCAATCTGATATCCAAACAATAATGCATATTATTCCTTCAAATGCGCATAATGGAATGGTTTGCGAATATTCATGAGGCATAGGTGTAACAAAACCGCCCAAATATATGGCTCAAAATAATAGTTCTTACATCAAATGCTGTCTTCCACCAGATTTATTTATTACAGGTATTTATATAGCACCAACAATTTACACAATGCTTTTACATAGTTGCACATTCTCATCAATCCGTGCCCTCATGGAGCTTACAATCTGAGGTCCCTATCTCACATGCATACATAGAGGACCGACTTAGAGAGGAGCCAATTAACCAAAGTACCTGGAGGAAACCCATGCAAGCACAGGGAGAACATGCAAACTCCTTGCAGATAGTGACCTGGCTGGGCAGAAGCGCTAACCCCTACGCCACTGTGCTGCCCATGGGAGTACTGCTATATATTACAGAAAGTACAGCGGTACTAATCAAGCACTGTGTTGAGATGGATTTACTTATCTCTTTCAATAGAGGATAGTGTTCCAAATGTCTCTCTGGTGGAAGATTCATAAGGAAGTGCACATATGCTGGATCCAAAGTTTAGTCTCTATATTTGGTTTCCATCAAAAAACACTGCTGGGATCTAGGTAAACCGTGGTAGGGAACAGAACGCCACACTCCCTTACGTGGTTCTCCCCAGCAAGGGGCTTCATCAGAGGGGCGTAGCAGCCACAAATGTCTGAACAATGCACATTAATGGGCCAGTTCACACCAGATGCAATTGTGATGGAGCCCATTAAAATTGGCTGCAGCAGCCAAAATACATCACAATGCTTTCCTATGGGATTCCTGCTGCTCCATTCACACCAGTGCAGTCCGTTCTGATGCAGTCAGAAAAAAATACTGCTCGCCCTATTTGAGCAGCATTGGATCGCTACAAAACACATCAAAATGCATCAACAATGCATGCAAATGCACTGGAACACACCTGAAATCGCATTATAAGCACAAAACCCTGCATCAATTGTGGTACAATCACGGCAAAATGCATCGCATTGCAGCCTCGTAGATAGATGCAGTTCTGGTGTGAACTAGCCCTTAGGTCCATTGTTTTTGTTTTGTTTAGAGCATCTCCGCGCATCGTCGGCCGGCCAAATACGTGCAGACAATCCCTGGATGCACGATAGATGCGTCCAGAGAGAATGATTCCTAACCGCATGTAATCATATCACATACCATTCATTACATGCGGTGTGCAGGCGTTTACATGGAGCGGTTGTCACCTGATCATTACCTTGAATGGGGGACAACCGCTGCTTGTAAACGCCAGATTAGGGATTCCTGCTGCAGGAAAACGCAACATACACGCAGATTCCACACGTTTGTGGCTATTACTATAACCGCAACGTGTGGAATTCACTCATAA